CTAAAGCGGCAGAGGAGTGTGTTGTATCCTTGTATCCTTATATCCTTGTATCCTTGTATCCTTGAATCCTTGTTTCCTTGGATCCTTGTATCCTTGTATCCTTGTATCCTTGTATCTATTCCATAATCTAATCATAATCTTTCATTGAAAATACGGAAATACCTTTATTTGGAGAAATACTAAAAATGAGAAGTGAAAGATTAAAATTGCTGGAATTTTGCTGAAAACACAAGCTTCTAAGGAAACATTGTAATCTAATCGGGTTCCTTGAAGCAAAAATTTAAATTTCTTCAAGTTCCTTATCCAAATCACTCGCTTGTAATTCAAGCGAATAAATTCAATTTATGAATGTGCAGTATGCATACAAAGACTTGCATGGACCAATAAATCTGCATCTTTAGGAATGTTAAAAATCCGGGAGATGAAAACCAAACCAAATATAATGCTCATGAACAGACATCTAGTAACTGCATTGCTCTGGCTTGAATAGATATTTATCATGCTTCCTGTTATCATTGCAATGAAAGGAAGATGATTTTTATATAATATATGAGGAGCAGAAGATTATACCAATACATGACGGTTTACAGGAAACCTTGACAGTTGTTAAAGGGACAACATTACATGGTTACATGCCCGTCACTGCGGTGCCCTTTGAACCTCTATATTGGAGAAATATGGAGTTACTTTCAAAATGAATTCTTCCTTATCAAGTTTAGGAAAATGAAACTTAAAGGTATCAATTTTCCAGTAAAAATGTATAAACGGATACCAATCTATATCTCAGTTCTAGGATGGAATGGAAAGGTAGAGGAGGAGTATGGACGGATACCAATGTTTATCTAGGTTCTAGGATTGAATAGAAAGGTAGAGAAGGAGAATGGATGGATACCAATGTATATCTAGGTTCTAGGATGGAAAGGTAGAGGAAGGAGAATGGATGGATACCAATGTATATCTAGGTTCTAGGATGGAAAGGTAGAGGAGGTGTATGGACGTATACCAATGTATATCTAGGTTCTAGGATGGAATAGAAAAGCAGAGGAGGAATGTGGACGGATACCAATGTATATCTAGGTTCTAGGATGGAAGAGAAAAGTAGAGGAGGAATGTGGACGTATACCAATGTATATCTAGGTTCTAGGATGGAATAGAAAAGTAGAAGAGGAATGTGGACGTATACCAATGTATATCTAGGTTCTAGGATGGAAAGGTAGAGGAGGAGTGTGGACGTATACCAATGTATATCTAGGTTCTAGGATGGAAGAGAAAAGTAGAGGAGGAATGTGGACGGATACCAATGCTTCTAGTTCAGAATAAAATGGATTTATTACACGAATCTACGGTGGACAGGTAGATTTTTATAATTTATCATAAAATTCTTATTTCAAAGTTGAAAATGGGTTTCATAGTATAATAAATCTTTTCATTTAAAAACATATGAAACGGGGATATTTAACATGAAAGCTGCTCCGCCTAATACATTAACTAATGCCGCGGAAATTAAAGACGACTGTGTTAAGTGATGAAGTTGAAGAAATGAGCCGAAAACTAGGATTAAAACTCATCAAAACTTCAGTTAAAGAAAATCTAAACACAGCTCAGGTAGAATCACATCAAATTGTTCAAATATTTTCAAATAAACTTATTTTGAACTCTTACACAATGTTACTCTGAAAGGATGAGGTTACAATGACGACCTGTAACTTAAGATTTACCCTCGAAATTAGTCTTAAATCTAGTCTTTTAATGGAATATTTAATTATTTGGCAAACAAAGGAATACAAAAACGAATTTCCAATTGCAGGGAATCATTTCCGTACATTCGTCTTTGAAGTAACATTCTTTGTGGTTAACACACTCATTTGGAAAGTAATTTGATTATTTTTTTTTTAACTTTTGATATTGGTCTCATTATTGTGGGATATTTCTAGGTCTTTTCCTGCTTATCACAGCTCTGTTTGAATGAGAGAACTGAAGAACTAAAGCGAGAACAGTTTTATACCAGAATAGGAGGTGTATATCATTTCAATTTATATCTTTATTTTTTGATATTTTCAAAAAGGTTTTATTTGGACGAAATGTTCACATCATCATTGTCCAAAACATTTGTTTAATATAATCTTTATAAAATGTTAAACCCTTTTTTGCCAAAATATTGTAGCTGTTATTAAGTATCTTTTATCCTGTCTCGATTTTTTCATAATGGTTGATTAATTTCTGTTGTTTAGGAAGTTTAGGGCTAGAAAGAAAATCATGGCGAGACAGAAAACACAATTCGGCTGGCATTAGAGGTTATACAATGTCGTCTTGAATTTGTTAAAATGTCGTCTTGAATTTATAAAAATGTCGTCTTGAATAGTTTAATTTTTCTTCTGCACGACTCTAAAACAAGTCAAAAAGTAATCAAGAAGACAAGCTTGGAAACTTGGATATGTCTGGAAAAAAATCTTTTGAAAAAACACAATTTACTTCGTGTTTTTTAAACCACGCTTAGAACATTCCCTTGGTTTGATCGAGTTACCTATCAAAATTTGAGGCAAATCGGTAAAGGGTTTCTGAATTATGATCTGAAATCCAAAAACATACAAACAGATAAACATAGATTACTTCTTTATTTGCTGTTAATTAGGCCATGCTTGCTGAACAGTGACACAATTATTTTGCCGAACTTTTAGAATAAAACAGGCTTTATCAAGGAAAATAAGATTTTAATAATTTTGTTCTACAAAGTTTGACGCAGCTAGTGCACCTGGTTTAACTATTTCTCCATGTTTTTCTATTTTGTTTTTGAAGTTTTTGATGTTAATTTAAAATGATTTACAAAAACTAAATTTTTTTATTTTAATCTTGTCATCCAGACTTTTAGAAAATGTACCTTTTTGGGTTTCAAATGAAAATACTACGGTTTTCCATTTCCAATTGATAAAATTGAGAAGCAACTATACAATTGTTATTGATCTTTAATGGCTTTACCAAATATGTACAATAAATGTTTATTTAAATGATGTAAACATCGTCTTTGTTTAGATTTTAACAACACAAATTACAAAAACATAACATTCCTAGTGGTTCCTCCTGTATAATTGAAAGATGTAAATACAATATTAAATTATTTGCAGATTTATTAGTTAGAAGGAAGGAAGCCCTGCAGTGTATCCGGCTGAGAAATGAAACCCTGTATCATCCAACACGAACCCTTCAGATTACCTCCTCACAATCTAACTCAGGTCAAACAAATATAATCTTATCATATTTATTTTTGAAAATCCCTTTTAGTTGACAATTCCTTTATGTTGGTAATCCCTTTTAGCTTTTAGCTGACAATTCCTTTAAGCTGACAATCCCTTTTAGCTGCAAATCCCTTCTGAGAATTTTTTTTTGTGTATTGGCAATTCCTTTATTTTGACAATCCTTTGATGTCGACAATACTTTATTTTGACAACCCCTTCATGTTGACAATCCCTTCATGTTGACAATCCCTTCATGTTGACAATCCCTTCATGTTGACAATCCATGTTGACAATCCCTTCATGTTGACAATCCCTTCATGTTGACAATCCCTTCATGTCGACAATCCTTTATGTTGACAATCCCTTCATGTTGACAATCCTTTATGTTGACAATCCCTTCCTTTCGACAATCCTTTATGTTCACAATCCCTTTGTGATGACAATTTTTAAGTTGAAAATCCCTATATGTTGACAATCCTTTCATGTTGACAATCCTTTATGTTGACAATCCCTTTGTGATGATAATCCTTTATTTTGGCAATCACTTTGTCTTGACAATTCATTTATGCTAATTTTTTAAGTTGGCAAACCATTTGTTGATAATCGTCTTCATTTTCTTTGAAAATATGAACCATATTCTTCAGTAGCATTAAAACAAAACCTACGGCAAGTCTGGATTTATTTAACTGTAAATCTGTAAATTAACAATTTAGGAACAAAATGGCGTAAATCAAGAAAATGGCGGGAAGTGTCTGAGCCTGGCAGCCATTTCTTACAACATTGTAACATTTTATGAAAAGCAAATAAAATAAAACATAATATTTAGAGAGAATATTTGTAAACTGTAAAGTTATTTTTTTAAAAGGTTTAAGCTTAAATTATGAAAAAGAGAACTTTTTTCAAAATCTTAAGTTTGAGGGATTTTAAGCAGCAGAACTTTCTTCTAAAACCTTCCTTCCGATTTCCTCTTTGCTGCCAACTTCCTGTAAACAAAATTCTCTCTTTTTCATATGATTTTAAAGAGGCTAAAAATGCATATTGGCCTGAAAATCAAATTGCAAATCGTATCTTTTCTCCCGGTTTGCATGAATCAAGGAAAAACACGAAAAACTTTTTAAATTTGTAAATAGAATTGGAAATTAAAATGTGCTTTACAAAAGTTCTTGAAAAAAGTTAATTTGTTCAAGCGTTACCTAATGCACTCAATAAACTGAGTCTGCGCCATAGGCATTGCAACATCCAGGATACTTCCAGGCATCCAGCCCTAAATGTGAATTGTTAATATTGCAACCTCCAATAAAAAATGTTTGTATTTATTAAGAAACGAAGTATAAAAAAAATTCATCTATGTCATAAAAGAAATCATTGAATGAAATGCATTATCTTTGTTATCATCATTTGACTAGGTTAGGACAAGATGTTATTTTTTTTTTTTTTTTGGCTTATTATGTTTATCTTTTGGCCTTTAACAAGCGGCCATTTCAACTGGGCCCTGGAAAAACCTTGTTAGTTTTTGGTCCCTGGAATATCAGAAAATAATATTATTTTACCTTATACTCACAGTCCATGAGCCAAACAAAATCACATTCATCGTCCTTCCCCTCGACAGGGTAAACTATCTGGCAGCCAGGACCATTCACAGCCCTGCACAACAAATATTAAGTAAACTGAAGTCATACAATGAAACCCTGACAGTCTAAGGTACAGTGAAATTAAATAAATCTTTTTTTCGTTTCCTATTATCATTTTTGTTCTCGTAAAATTCAATTTTAAGAACAATTTATAAAAGACGTTTTTTGAGTGGAAGACATCTTGATTCACGGTTTTTTGAACTCAGCTCTTTGGAAAATAAGATAATGCTTGAATCCGAAAGTCAAGCCGTAAATAAGGCCTAACGACAGCTTAGACTTGAGCTGTATTTTCCCGAATTTTTTTAATTGCGGGAAAATCCTTAGTCTTTGTCATTGTCAGGTGTTACTTTTTAAACGTTGTTTCCTTTTAATTTTGTATTTTTGGAACTCCCAGGGGGGCAAGAGGACTACTGTTTCCCCTAGGTACACCACTGTGCCTGACCTGAGGAAGGGAAATGCAAGCAGATGTAATATTAAATGAGCCTCCCCCATGGATGCCCCCCATCAGCCTCTCAGGGGGGGCACAATTGTAAAGACCAAGATATGCGAAAATTTGATAAAAATATAGAACAAAAATGTGTTCATAATTCATTCTTTTCTGAACAAACTACATTTTGTTGGCTTCCGTCCCCACTAAAGTGCTATTTGTGGTTATCTTTTGGTAAATGAAATTTCCGTAGCTAGAAAATTGACAAAGTTACAGTTTCTGGATTTTCGTCAAAATTTCGTGAAAAATGCTGTACATAAAAGTCCAAATTTGGGAATCAAGATGTCTTCCTATCAAAAAACGCCTTTTCTAAATTGTTCTTAGAATTAAATTTTACATAAGATGATAGGAAGCCTTTATATGATATTCTTATGTTTCATACCATTTTCACTGTACCCTACCTGACACGTTTGTTAGAAATATCGAACCTACTGAAATAATTTCGCAATTACGCACATTCCGTTAGTATTACGAACGTATTTTTCGAAATTACGAACATTTTATTAAAAATAATGAAGATTTTCATTAAAATTATGAACTTTTTTTAATTTACGACCATTTTGTTTAAAATTACGAACATTTTATTAAAAATTATGAACATTACATCAAAAATTTTGAACATTTTAATAAAAATTACGAATATTTCGATCAGGATTATTAATATTTTCCTTAAAAGTATGAACTTTTTGTTTCAAATTACGACCATTTTCTTCGAAATTGCGATCATTTTTTTGAAATTACGAACAGAATGAAGAGTAAATAAAAATGTGTGAAAAATTTGGAACAAAATGCTCGACATTTTGAAAAGTTGGTGTTACGTTAAGTTAACTGTTCAAAGACATAATCGGATACAATTTAAAAAAAAAACTTTTTGAATTAAGATTATTTAGCCTTTTAATATATAGCTTTTTTCTTGTTCTTCAGAGTTAGATTATTTCATACAAAGTTAGATATTATTTTATTAGTATTTTGGTGAAAAAATACAAAATAATTATGAAACAGATTGAAGATACAATTTACCTGCGCAAATAACATTTTCTACTTAATATCGAACTTCCAAAGACATTTCGAACATTTCGAAACTTCAAGCATTTTTTTTTGAAATTTTGGAAAAAAGGTTAAAAATATGTTAAAAATGTGTAATCTCTAAAAGTTTGGGTAATTTCCTAATCGGCCCAGAAAGTATCTTAACCTAACCTAACCCTAAATAACAAAAAAAAAATAATAATAAATTTGCTGAAAAATAAATGGTCATGTACAAAATTGATAGGAGGGGGGGGGGGGGGTCCAAAAATCGTATACTAGGACAGACCCAAAGTTTGTTTTTCATTAAGAAATTCTTTCGGTAAGTTCTATATTTCAAACAAGATGGTTGAACCACCATCATTCACAGGATAAACATTTTCTTTCACAATTAAAAAAAAAGTACCTCACAATTTTGGAGTTTTTAGGCGCGTCTGGGTAATCCACACTTTTCCCACCCATTACAAACGCGTCATTTGCTGTTCTTCCAATCTAAAATTTGGAATTTTTGATCTATAATATTGAGGCATATCAAAATATTCTTGAAAAGTAACGTTCTAGTTCTAGTAAAGCTCTTAGGACAGAATTTTATGAAATAGTTTTTTTTAAAATTGTTTCTACGTTGTCTTTCTTAAATCAATCAGAATTTAAAGATTTAATATTTTCAAATAAAAATCTTTCGTTATAATTACAAGGCTTTAATAACTTAGACCTATCGTAACCTAACTGTTGATTTTTAGACTGTTTTATACCTTACTACCGTACACAAAATCTCGAGCTGACACCATTCCTCCAGCAGCTTCTGTGGTAATCTTAAACAAAAAAAAACTTAATCTAAAAACAATGTTTTAAAATATTTATCCATGATTATTCACTGCAGTAAAACCCTACATGAGCCATACATCGAAAGAATGTATCTAATGTCGTCTTGACAATTTTTCAATGGGTTTTATACTTTTTTTCGTTATTCTTAGTATTTGAAAAAATTAATAAATGACCATGAATATACGGGAACAGTTCTAAAGAGCTCCATAAAATCATTTAATTAAAAAACTAAATATCTGCAACATTCCATTATCAGAAAGTGAAGAATACGACATTTGATGAATTCTTTCGATGTATGATTTATTTAGGGTTTAACTGTACTATATTTGCTATTTACTTTACAAGAATGAAAATAGGACAATAACAGTGGAACAAAGTAAATTGTAAATAACTTTCACAAATTTCCGTTGCAATTAGTTCGTAATCATAACATGACGGTTCTTTTCGTTGATTTTTTAATTATTCCGGTCTTTGACCTTTGACTGTTGACTTTTGAACGTTGACCTTTGACTGTTGACCGTTGACCGTTGACCGTTGACCGTTGACCGTTGACCTTCGCCTGTTGACCGTTTACGTGAATTTAAACCTGGTATGAGATTGCACATGTATCGTTTACGTGAATTTAAACCTGGTATGAGATTGCACATGTATCGTTTACGTGAATTTAAACCTGGTATGAGATTGCACATGTATCGTTTAGCTTCTTGAGTAGTTTAGCTTCAGTTAGAGTATTGTTCCAGGATTTAACGTTGTCCGTGTCACTGCAAACACAAATATTAGATTCCGTCAATCAGAACTTTCATGGCTTTTTATCATGTGAAGGCGATTTCATCAAATGTCATGAATGAACCCCCGGACCGATTTTCCTCAAATTTTGATTGGGGATCTTGGTAAAACCACAAAAATGTTCTTTGATTGGTTAAACATTTTTTAATTTGATTTAGTTGACTTAAAGTTTAGTTTTCATGAAAAGTAAGGTTCACAAGCTATTAGTTCAATATTCTAAATGAACGAAACTTGTTTTTTATTCTTCTGACCTTAATGCTTCTTCTAAGAGTTTCCTTGGCATATTAATTCTTCCCCTGCATCTATAAATCTTCTTCCCTTTCCCATTTTTCTTTACCTCAACCAGATCACCCTGAGTTAGAACTTTATTAATGATTTATAAATTAAACAGATTTAAAAAGATGGTTCGGGAATAAAAAGAGTATACTTATTCCGAATAAAGTTTTGTATCGCTACTAATTTTACTTTTTACTATAGTGTCTAAATCTTAATGAGAAAATGCTCAAAAACATCTTATTCTAAAGATAAGGAACTTAATGAAATGAAATCTGCTGCAAAAGACCCCAAAATGGACTTCAATAAAGGAAAAAATTACAGAAAAGAGATTTATTAAAACTTTTCGAGCTTAGAAACAAACCCTGCTACAGAAAAAAAAAATTCAAAATGAACATATATGTATGTATCGTTTTCGTACATGTATAAGTTTTGATGGGGTTTGTGCGGTATTGTCACATTGTGGTTTAAAACATGATTTCTAAACATTGCATATTTAAATTTACAATTTGCAGTTAAACATTGAACACGCTTTATTGCACGGTAAGTTAAACAAAATCAAGGATAGAAAATTCTAGAGTTTGAATTCAAAGTTTTTTATTTAAGTTTAACGAATATTTCTAATTTGCAATAGTTTTTTGTGAACAAACTAAAAAAGGATGGAGTTTCGTGGTTCATTAAATTGCTTAAATTTTGGCTATTTTGATAGATTGATGATAATTTTTCATAACAAAAATTAAATTCACTACAGTTGATACTAAACATATTCAACCTTTGACTTGACATCCTGAGCTGCAAGTTTATGAAAAGTGGGAAGTAGTTAAACTTATCTACGACTATTTCAACTACTTAACTTAAATATTAAATTAAACCTTCCTTTTGGTTCGAGTTGATCTGGTGGCAAAAGAGAATTAGTTGAGCCAGTCATGTCTAGCTTAACTGAATCTCTCTCGCTCATAATTAACGACCTCGATGTACTCTTTTAAACCCTTAAAAATTAGACTTTGAAGGATTAAAAAAATAGTTCTCACCGTATCCTTATCCTCCTTCTCCTTTTTCCATCCCTCGGTAGAGTTGGCTAGCTCTAGACCCTCCTCCCAGGCCTCCTCTATAGCTGCAATATACTCAGCATCCTAATAAAATAATAATATTAAAAAAAATTTTAAATTGAACGGCTAACCCTCCCGCTAAATAATAACAACTAAAATGACATTAAATTATAAAGTTTGGGTTTCTATACACCAAGCGCTGTGGCTACTATCAACTAGGGAAATATCCTTTAGGTGTAAATTTTAATATGGGGGGAGGGGTTGGTTCAGAAGTCAGAGACCGAATTTAAAAAATTTGATCCCCGGCTTAAATTTAATCCGCGGCTCAAATATGGTTGGTTTCACTTAAGTTCGTATTAAATTTTTCAAGATTTAAGCCGGCGGTCAATTCAAACCGTTTTTGGGGGATTTCAGACGTGGCTTAAATTCATTAAATTCGGACACAGGAGATTGAAAATAAAACCGATTAAGTAAAGACTGTTATAAATAATATTGCATATTAATAAGCCACTAAAAATTACATGTAGAATCCATTATGTACAATTGATCATTATAAGATTTCAAACATGTATTTAATGAAAATAAGAGTTATATAGATAAAATTGTAATGGGAATGCTGTTCAAAAATAAAAAAAAATAATTATTTATTTATAAAATATAATTTTAACAAAACGAAAAATAAATGCATGAAATAACTATCTTTACATTATAAATCTTCGCTCATTTCCATTTTTATTTATGAAGCTTTTCGCTCACATATATTTATATGTTAGCTATGGCTGGCCAAACGGCTTGACCAAATTGGCTAAATTGACAAAGGCTAAAAAAATTCGACTTTTTTCCAAAGTTTTTGTTTAATTCCACGGTCAAGGCCGGGCTCTTTAGTATACAATATACAGGGTTACCCACAAAGGATGAGACAGTAAAAACGACCAAAAACTTAAAAATATGACGATTTGAAGATTAATTTTTGGTTTCTGCACTCAATTGAGTATTTTGAAAGGACTTCCGTATGCAAAAGTTTCTGAAGTCTTATCCTTTGTGGATAACCCTGTACATAATAGTTAAATATCCAAGTTCTATAAGAAGCCCGGATTAACAAAACTGGTTCTTAAAAAGTCATACCCCTGACCCAACTTTCATCACAAACTCAAGTATTTTGTAAATAGATTATCAACAATTAATTATACTAATTGACAATGTATACAAACCTAGTAAATATATAGAATAAAATTGATATTCTATATACACAGGTAGGTATATTTCAATTGTTTGTTCAAATATAACATAATTGTCTTTTGAAGTAAATGCGTAATTGTGCATTTTCCCCATCAATTTAGCGGATTTTAACTAATAAAATACGATAAATCTAACTTTCACAAAGCTTAAAATGGTAACGTGGCCAAGATGGTATCTTAAGTCTTAACACCACCCTGTTTTGGTTTTTGTACTTTAAAATACCATGTAACCTACAACTTAAAAGATGGTCTTAATATATTGGGATGGAGGCGTTTCCATGAATTTGTCCATTGGGGTCTGGGGACTTAAAAAGTGGTTTTTCATTCCAGGGAGGGGCCGGGAGAGCTTAGCACCCTTTCAGACCCTGAAATGCACTTACAACCATACATTTTAGTGATCCAGGGGAAAGAAGGGGGGGGGGTAGAGTCCCTCTGTAGAAATTTAAATGACGACTAAGAGATCGTCCTTGACGAATATTTTAATACTTAATTTTAAAATCACGAAAACTATAAAACACATTTGATAAGTATTTTGTGTAAATTTATTTTGATTGTACACAGAAATTTACACATTTGCCAAAATGACCCAGTTCTAAATTAGCAGACGAAACTTTCTACAATATACAGCTTTCTTTGAATTCGCATCGCTATACGAAACCAAAGTTCATCACTCTATTCCAATAGTTATCGAAACTGTAAAAATTTAAATAACTATTGTGCTTACCGTAGACATGGTTGATTGTTGACTGATGAACAGGCAGTGCTTGACTCAGGCAGTAAATACAGCTGTATAGAACCAGACAGTACAACCCCGGCGTACTCTATAATATAGAGGGTTATCCTAGAAAGACAGAATAGAACCACTTTAATTCAGGGGAATATTTTAAATTCAACATTTTAAAATCAACATTTTAAAATTAAATTTTAAAAGTAAAGCAGTGTACCCCATTCAAAAGGGTTGTAGCAGCTTAGATATATTTTGATGTATGGCATGACTGAGGGGAGGTATGACCACCCACACTAATATCTCGTCCGAGCCGCATTCTCCTCATTTTCTGAAATCCTCGTCCTTCGATTATTATGTGGTTTGAAGTTTAGATTTCTTGAAGTTAAACTATCTTTTAAAAATCTGTCAACGTTAGGGCATAACATAAAGATAGACTAAAGTATTGCAATAATTATACATCATGTTACAATTATTAATGCCAGGAAAGTGATGTCAAACTTTATTTGGGTGAAATTTAAATCTATTCTGCCTCTTTAATTGCTCACCTTCGCGAAACAAAATAAATAGCAACATATTTGACATACCTCTGCCTATCATTTTCCCCATGGAACCACACGGAAAAATTCAATGGTTTTCACTATAATTAACAAAAAAAATTAAAGTTATTTAAATTCGGAATTACTTGCGGCATTCTACATTAGGAATATCTGAAAATGCGCGTAAAAAAGGTCAACATTTTGAAGTAAATGTGAACTTAAAAACTTTAATTCAAAATTAGGACTATTTTCTTAGATTTATAAAAATTAATTATTTCAATTATGCCCAAACGTGGCAATTCTTAAAAAAAAGGATTTCGAGGTGGTTCGAACGAGAAAATGAGGAGAATGTGGATCGGACTAGAAATTGTTGTGACTGACCTTCCTCCCCTCGCCTGATTCATACTTAAACTCGAAGTTGAATTCGTATCCACATTTTACTTGTAAAAGGCGAACATTAAAAAATATCAAAATATAAAAGGTACACAAAATATACACATATATATATATATATATATATATAAGACAACACTTTTAAGTATTACTCCATATATTAAACTTTGTTGAAGTAATTTATAAGTTGCAATATTGATATTACAAACAATAGTCATCAATTATTTTTCGACGCATTCGTTTAATATGTCATAGAGTTTTTTACTTTGTTTTTTTTAATAATATTTCGCTGGCGCTGGATTTTCGAACATTCCTGGAAAATATGAAAATGTCGTTTTCATTATCAAAAATCCTCGAAACAGGAATAAATGTTTTCAAAAGTATCTCGACTCAGATCATAAAAATTAAAAATTATTTTGAAATACCAACTTTATACGAATGCATCGAAAAATAACCGAAGACTATTGTTTGTAATATCTAACGGATTGTTTAATTTCAGTCCGATGGTTTCTTAATTCTTATTCGTTTCCATGAAAATGAAACCCTGAAAACGATCACAACAAATATCAAATAGTCTTATTAACTGTTTCCTTAACTTTTTAAATGCTTTACTTACATTAAAATAAAACTGTTTTGGATTTTTTTATACAGGTTTTTTTGGCCCGGACAATTATACCTTATTTGCTAAAAATGATTCTAAATGTTTACATCTTTGATTAGTTATGACTTAAAAGTCATTATCAGAATTCACATTCGATACAGAAAAGTCACAATTGACGATCAACAAACAACTGTTAAAAAATATTAACAAAAAATTGAGGTGCAAGAGTACATAAAGTACACAGTACGTGTACGCTCAATGTACAAATGGTGAAAGCTGAGATTGAAACTTTAGGCACAAGAAAACCTGGTTTCTGAAATTCCTCAATGGACTAATAAAAGTACTAACACGTAGATATTAACAGGAACAAGTTTTATTGCAAAGTATCATTCACTTTTCAAATAATTCAAGTATAATTTTGTGAATAAGAGATGTACCTTAACTAGCTACAACCAAATAGATTCTAGTACAATAGACGGCAACGTAGAATTATTACACAGTACACACACTCAGTACAGCTGTATTTTTACGTCACAAGTGTCAACTTAGTTTTTGTGTCCGACAAAATTATTAATATGATAGTGATCATTTTAGAATAGAATTACAGAAAAATAAGTGCAATTATATGTGTTCTTTATTTTCTGTTTTTACACTTTTTTATTTGATTTTGGAAAACATGTCAACTGTTGTGAGAAAATTTCGTTTCCTTAGTATATTGTGTAAAGTCGTCTCTACACTCTCATACTTTATAGGTAACCCTGTATAAGACTGTCCCTTATAGATAAGAGATTATATTTTGCTACCTTAATATCTATTTCGGAGTGATGTAGAATTTACACTAATAAGATTAGTATTAGAACAGTAAGACAATACTTACTAATAAGATTAGTATTAGAACAGTAAGACAATACTTACTAATACAGGGGCGGACACGCAAAACTTAGGAAGGGAAGGGGGCTTTTCTACTTATTAATAATTCATTATTGTGTACTATAAACAAAATAAAATGTAAACTATATTTATCCCTTAAAATCTTCAATTTCTTATCATCTATGATTTATCATATTTATCAAATTATATTTATAATATCATAGATTATAGAATATATATTCTCAATCAATATAGAAAACAAAAACCATTTAATCACAGGGGCCTTAGTCCTATACTTCTATGGATCAAACCCATTCCACTGTAATTTAGTTTGACGATATTAAAAGCAGTCTTAAGTATATTTGATGTTGTTTTAAAGTAAATAGTTATTTCATTAGATTAAAAATCGACTTATTGTTTGAAATGGGTACAGAACAGGTACAGTAGTTATAGTGAAATTATTTGTGTACTTGTCTTGTATACACGTTTTAGACTGAACCTCAGCTAACTCACTACTTTTCTTTTGATGTTAGGTTCTTTCCCAAAGGATTGTTACCAAGTTACAACTTCCCATGGGTATTTTCCCAAGTGGCAACTTCCCAAATGTGCAATTTCCCGAGCGGCACCTTCCCAAATGTGCAATTTCCCAAGCGGCAACTTCCCAAATGTGCAATTTCCCAAGCGGCACCTTTCCAAATGTGCTATTTCCCAAGTGGCAACTTCCCAAATGTGCAATTTCCCAAGCGGCAACTTTCCAAGTCTGTCCTCAGAGGGCTAAACCTAACCTTAGGGAAGTTGCCGCTTGGGAAATTGCTCAATTGGGAAGTTGCCACTTGGGAAATTGCTCATTTGGGAAGTCGCCCTTAGGGAAATGATTTGGAAAAGTATCCAACACCTTTCTTTTTTTCAAAATGTTTTTTTCGAAAATCGGTTAAGGTTTGGTAAATTCAATTTTCGGAAGGTTTTCCGGTTAACCTAAGATCATCATATAATCATTTATATTTTAAAAGATAATTGACCTATAGAGGGTTAAAAGGCTGTACTGCACAGTGCACTGTATTATACATATATTTTATAAATATTTATTTATACTTTCCAAAATGTAGTTCATCACAGCTTTAGTTAATTGATGGAGATATCCAATGAATGTAAGGCAAGGAAAGTCATTTCAGTGGTGTACGCATTTTTTGTACTGCAGTGTACTGTCTTTGGGTTCTAATATAAACACAAGAGTAGGGGTGTCACAGCTTGACATGGGATCCATCTTTCAAATAAAAAATCAATGATTTATTCTGGTCATAGGAATTTATAACATAAATTATCAAAATTAAAAAAAACTTTAAGTTATTCCATTGTAATATTTTACTAAGGAGAAGTAAATTCTCCATTGAACCCCCCTCCTCGAATACTGAACGAACACTGATGCATCTATTATTGTTTATAAAATCCCCCAAATAGAACTGGTTTTAATATGTACACAAAGTATACAAAACAGCAATTGACTTTCCTTGCCTTACATTCATTGGAGATATCAATAATTTAGAATTTAATTATTTCTGAAAAAAGAACAATATCTCCGACTTCATTTATTCAGGTAACACAACCATATTTAAGAATAGGTTTTTTTCTATAAACAACAATAACACTTCCAAAAAAAGTTTCTTCTGGATCAAAGACGTTTTTTTAACCCTTTCCTTTAAATCTAAATTTTACTGGGACACCAGTGCACATGGTTGATTTTACTGGGACACCAGTGTACATTGTTGATTTTACTGGGACACCAGTGTACATGGTTGATTTTACTGGGACACCAGTGTACATGGTTGATCTTACTGGGACACCAGTGTACATGGTTGATTTTACTGGGACACCAAGTGCACATGGTTGATTTTACTGGGACACCAGTGTACATGGTTGATTTTACTAGGACACCAGTGCACATGAATGACAATTTCTCAACAGAAAGGTATGAAGACTAATGTCTTGAAAAAGATTGTGATCAAAACATCATTATATATAGGAGAGATGTGCTTAAATTGCTTTATTTTCATGATCAATATCTGCAAATAAGGGTTATTCTCAAGGTAGAGTTTGTTGCACGTTTGACAGTTGCTAAGTACACAATTTGCTTTATTCTACAGGGTGTCCCAATAAACATGGGAATTGAGAGATGACTTTAAAGTCATCTTTGATTTCTGATATCTAATGCATGGCAAAAAAAGTATAAAAACGAGAATGAACGTCTCTCAATTCCTTTTTTTATTGGGACACCCTGTATGAAAAAATTATTCTAAAATTGCCAAGATAACAAAACATTTTGTAATCATATTCTTATCTTAATCTTAAAATTAATGCGATTAAACAATGTCTGAGAGAAATGAATTGATAAAGATAAAATAAAAATTATTATTTTTCCAGACGGTCGGAGTTTGAAACAAATTCAATATTTATATTTTTGTAAAATGTGTTGCAGGATTTCAATTTTTCAAAAACTTTCTCAAAGTCAGTCATGTTGTTTATATTAAACTGGAATACATTATAAATGCAATTATTAACAATTCTATCCTTACTTTTTATATATGTACTTTCTATCCTTACTTCATAGAGGGGAGGGGTGTGCCAAACGAGTCCCACATCCCTTTCAGGATAGGATCCTGCTAAGGGCAAGATCCTCAACAGGACAGGATCCTGTAAATGGCAGGATCCTCAACAAGACAGGATTCTGTAACAGGACAGCATTCTTTACCCGGACAGGTTTCTTTAACAGGACATGATTATTTAACAGGATAGGATTATTTAACAGGACAAGAGTCTGTAACAGGACAAGAGTCTGTAACAGGACAGGATCCTGTAACAGGACAGACAGGATCCTTTAACAGGACAAGAATCATTACCAGAATGAGAATCATTACCATTACAGGATTCTGTAACAGGGCATTATACTTTAACAGAATAGGATTCTTTAACAGGACAGGATTCTTTACCAGGATAGGATTCTGTAACAGGACCGGATTCTGTGAAAGGACAGGGTTGTTTAGCGGGATAGAATTCTGTAACAGGACAGGATTGTTTATCAGGATAGGATTCTGTAATAGGACCGAATTCTGTAACAGGACAGGGTTGTTTAGCAGGATAGGATTCTGTAACAGAACAGGGTTGTTTATCAGGATAGGATTTTGTAATAGGACAGAATTCTGTAACAGGACAGGGTTGTTTACCAGGATAGGATTCTGTAATAGGACCGAATTCTGTAACAGGACAGGGTTTTTTAGCAGGATAGGATTCTGTAATAGGACCGGATTCTGTAACAGGACCGGATTCTGTAACAGGACAGGATTCTGTAATAGGGCAGGATTGTTAAGCAGGATAGGATTCTGTAACAGGACAGGATTGATTAGCAGGATAGGATTCTGTACCAGGACAGGATTGTCTAGCAGGATAGGATTCTGTTACAAGATATGTTTATTTAACAATGATTAGAGGTATAAGGTGTTACGACGGATCGTATATCGACCTGTCCACCGTATACAAGATTAACTTATAGAAATCTAAGCTCGTGGAAGACGACATTGTCCCATCTCTTTTATTCAAACTAGGGGTATTCTGCCTTTAACAACTTACAACATCGAATATAATGGTATAATGGTATAATAGACCAAGCAGTAAAGGATAAAACAAGTTTACAGTTAAAAGGAACCATTAATGGAAGAAAAAAGTCTAATTAATTCGTATAGTCGTCTCTGAATTCTCATCTTTTGTGGTTAACCCTGAATGCTTATGAAATTATTTACAGTCGTGTCTGCAGAGTCTCATTGTTATTGGGTTATACCCATTAGATTGGTTTTAATTTTCCGTACAGTGATAACCAGAAAACTGTAGAATAGAAAGATGACATTAATGCAATACTAAAGTGCATAATTGATGGTGCTATAGTGCTACAAAGCAATAGCTTTACTAGTAGGTGATCAGATCACCTATTAAGTGAAATTGGTCTATTTACATTTAGCAATTATTGTGTTCCTTGTTCAATTAACTATTTAAAGTCAGAACTTGACAGTCGACTTCCTATTCCAGAGTTTTCTGGTTCTCACTGTAGCATGTTTTATAATCAAAAAGACAGTGTAAAGAAAAAATCAAATCTAATTTATCCAAAATCCATGGTTTATGATAAATATCGTTTATGAAACTAAAATGGAAAATGATATTTGGGCAATCTGTGTATTTTTTGTTGTTTTGAAGCAATTAGGTCCTTTATGTAGTACCAGTCTTACTATAGAAGCCTTAAGATCAACTTAAATTAAGTGAAAGAAAATGCACCGTTTTTTTGTGTTCAATGTTCATTTAATTGTTGGACTCAAGTTATAATTTTAGATATGCAGCTAAGCCAGAACTTTGGAAACTGTATCTAAAATCATAACTTGAGTCTAACTGTCGTCTTCCTTTTCTATAGGTTCACGAGTCTACCAGCAGATTTCATAGAAAACTATTGTTCTTGTTTTTATTCTTTAAATGATCTAATTTGAGAATTTTATAAGTATTTTTTTGATGTTTTCTGTGAACTAACCAATAATAAATGCATATATTTTATTGTTGAAGTTAACAGGAAATTGCATTACTAAGGAATTGACAACTTCTGGATTTCTACCGCACTATAGAATGATTTTTTTTATTTGACTCCGTCAAATTTTAATGAGTTCTCACTTTGGATATTAATATTTTTGTTTAAATATTATAAAAAATTCTAATTTTTTATAGACTTTAATACCCAATGGGTTCCCTAAAAATATGTCAGCCAGATTGGTCCAGCCGTTTGACCAGCTATAGCAAATATATATATGTAATATATATACATATGAGCAAAGACCTTTATTATTGAATTAAATACATTTGGTCAAAGTAAATAGTGACTGGGACTCAGTCCTACAGATCGACAGAACCCGATCAACACTGCTATGATTGGCAGCTCTCGGCTCTTCATGACTCACAGCTGGATCATCAAAATTCCTAAAACGATCATATACTCATTAATCTTTAACTTTTAATTGCTGAATCTGGATTTGAATCGGTTGTGGTAATTCAGCGACCTCTCTAATTGATAAAATTAGTTCCTTGATTGATCAAAGTTATTATTTTTATATTACATTAAAGATTTTTTAATGATTTTTTGTGGTGCTTAGAACAGTTTCCGTTAGGATCATCTTTTAACATCAGATATGTATGCCTAAAAACTATGTCAAATGTGACATAAGGAGATGTCGTTTCCCATTTCTAGATTTTTAAGAGATTCTTTAGAGTCTATTTTATAAGGCATTCTTGTCTATAAAGATTTTTTTTTACAATTGGGTCGTTGTCTAAAATGTCTGAGACCGTTATAAATTTAATTTCCTATAGTTTATAACATAGCTAAATAAAAAAGGTTAAATAAAACGTAATTACATTTAAAAAAAAAACAATAACAAAATAAAATAAATTAATTTTGGTGCTGAAATAGAACTACGTTTAAATTTTTAAAAGGATTCAGGACAATACATTGTTTTTACAATTTTTATTATTAGAAATAAAAATATTATCTTTCCTCTCATTTCAAGGTTTAAACCCTACCTGCAGTGTAAAATTGTATGCGACATAAATTAGAATTTCGCGAACGATCTCTTGTATTTTAAACAATAAGTTTGATTTTGAAGATTTAATTAGAAAAGCAAGTTGAGGTTTAAGAATATAGTATTTGCAGGGGACGGATCAGATTTCAGGGTTTTTACAGAAGCTTCCTTCTTTAATTTGTTTATCAGATTCTTTACAGGATCGAGGACTGACAGGGATATATATATTTTACAAAATATGTTTATTATTAATTATTAAATTTCAGACTTTTTTTTTACAAATGGGTTTTAAACAGTCCAGGAGCCAATAGTCACAGAGTCCAGCAGAGCGACCAGATTCAAGAGGGACAAGAGTCCAAATCTTCAAATCTAAGAGTCCCATATCCAGTCCTAAATCCTCTTTAAGAATAATTGTAACTTATGTTTCCCTTTAATTCCATTTTAATGCAATATAATCTTAATACATCTTTTGTTCATTAAATTGTCGCAGAGATTGAAACACACTGTCAGCTTTAGAATTTAACAATAATTTAGTAGAAATATATTTTCATTTATAAAATCTTTTAAAAAATGTTATTATTTTTTCTTTACATCACAAAACATATATTTATTAAGTTAGTTACAACTGAATTTGATAACTGACAATGAACTTGTTATCATCTTATACTATGTGACCTCAAAAAGAAAAGACTTTAAAAATAATGTGATAATGCAAAGATTGAGTTTTGTCTTCAATATGCCAAAAATTTTTTTTTTAAACCAGTGAAATAAAAAAAACAATTTTTTAAAAATATTTTACGTTTGTCAAAAGAGCTTCTTATATCTAGAAATATATAAATTTTATATATATCTAGACAATAACACTACATTATATAAAATTATATATATTATTTTGGCAAGCTGTCTTAAAGAATTTTTGGAATTTTTTTTGTGTCTTGAAGGTTCTCTTCTATTTAGATTATATTTTGAACCTTTGTTAAAAAATGTCTGTAAAAAAATTCATCTTTTTCTTAGTTATTTGTTGAAACTTTTGAAAAAACAACCCCTTCTCTAAAAATAAGTTAAGAAAAGATATAAAAAAGAAACAAACGTATTCAGTTTATCTCTGTTTTATGACATCGCACTCAACGACCCTTTAGTCTGAGAAATCTTCATCTGTTTAATCTTTAGCTTCCCCCCTCACCCCACCCCCATTTGCCGGCCTCTCTCCCCGGGTCATATAATATAAAAGCTGAGGATTCCGGTCAACTCCAGCAGTCAGGTTTAGAACCTTACTCAGTCAGGTATACTTTATACTTTTTGGGCTTCATGACTTGAATATAAAAGATACGATAACAAGTAACAAGTAATAAATGGCAATATCTGTTTTACTACGGTCCCATTAAACCTTTAACTGATAAATATTCTGGAAAATATCGTCATGTTTCCAACTTAGAAAAAAGTGACCAATTCTGACAATTTTCCGTAGAGTTTCTGAAGAGTAAATCACTTTTGAAGAGCAGCTGTTCTATCTAAAAAGGATATTGTAATCATTCTTTATTACAAATCTGTACACGGGGTCTTGTGACTAGAACACTCTATAAATTAGATTTCGTCATTTTTCTGTCTTAAAATGTAGTCAATTCTGACAATTTTCAGCTCTTCCTAATTGATTAAAAAAACATATTAAAATTAGGTTTGAACTTGAACATAATCAAATTATGATGAATTTCGAATCAACACTTTTGACGGACTCTAAAAATTAATGAAATATAGTCTTAAATTTAAAACTTTAATTTGTCTGCCTGACGACCTATATATATACTATAATTTGTTTATTTGGTTTTCTGTTTGTATCTATAAAACGTAAAAACGGCTGAACCGCTCGGGCCCACATTTTTTGGGACCTCAAATATGATGTTCAAGATGTTCAATATTTTTTAAAATATCGATAAAGGATTTGAGTCTTTGCCACAAACTCTGCTTTTCTAAACCCTATATCTTTGGATTCCAATGTCGTAGACCTTGGATATTTCAAACTATGAATTCTGTTAGATCAAATAATATAAGTTTGAAATATCAAAGATTTTCGACATTGGGTTCCAAAGAATTAGGGATTATAAATTCAGAGTTTGTGACCAAGACTCAATTCCTTTGCGAAAAATCTTTTTCTATTATCTAGATATTTTAAAGGAAAAAATAGACCGTAAAAAGGTTAACGATTAAATACTTAAATATGAAATAAAGACAGGCTTCTCTGAATAATAAGCTTTATTGGAATTGTCAGAAAGGAATTAGGTCTTTGCCACAAACTCAAATTTTCTGATCCCTATATTATATCTTCGCTACGTGACGGTGTAAATCTTTTATATTTCAAACTTTGATTATTTGATCTAAAAGAATTCATAGTTTGAAATGCCTAAGATATAGGAATTAGAAAATCAGAGTTTGTGGCAACAAATCAATTTCTTTGTTTGTTAAAAGAAAGATTTTCATTTAAAAAAAGAATAAGGCGTAAAAAGAAAAACTTCAACATTGATAAATAAATTATAAGTATAGTGATCTGTGGTGCTTGACGTTTAAGATTTACAACGGTACCCTTGAAACCTTCATCTGATCTGTGAGTTTCTACAGTGTTTCTGATAAGCATGAAATGCGAAAGTCACTTTTGCAGAGAAACCACAAATAAAAATAAACAGTTTAAAGATAGAAAAAAAATTACATTTAATTCATACTTGGCATTACTTGATCAGACAAACCTTTTTAATCTTAAGCTTTAATTGTCTTCTTTGGATGGAGGGCTACTTGAAATAACTACTAGTTTGAATTTATTAAATTTGGTCTCTGAATCTAAAAGAATATATAACCCTGAACTAAAAATAGCTTATAACCAAACTTTCGTTAACGCAGGAATTGAAAATCGTTTAGGCTTCAGTGTTAAGAAACGAATAAAAACGACAAGAAGATAAAAAATTAGATTTAGTTTTTTAAGTTGTCGATAAAAAATTGCATTTCATTATGAAAATAATTTTTTTCAATTAAAAAAAAAACTCCAAAACTCCTATTTTTAAATACCATTTTTTTGGAAAGTGTTGTATGTATCTTGAAATAGTCTTCATACTAAACTTTTTTGGAAGGATTCATAAAAAAAATAAAGATGTTTTAAGTTTAACAAAGAAACACAAAAGTGTCCATAAAATATGAAAATACGATGTAGTAGACTAGTTAAATGTGTCAACAGTTTTTAGTCCAGATATTCATTATCTAGGTTTATGAGGCTGAACGCTCTGTAAATAATTCAATGCATGCATCTCTTTTGCAAAACTAAAAATTTTAATTGTCTCTGGTCAACATTAAATATCTTTATTACTCCTGACCCTTGAACTTTATGAGGGTCTTGAGGGTATTTAATTTCTGTGTCTAATTTTGCAACTCAAGTAGGGATTAAAATATGTCTTTGAAACTTTTAATTAAAAATTTGCGAAAATACTTGCTATATAGTGTTTAATGAAAATGAGAAGTTTCAAATGTTCAGGGTCTTCGTGGTCCTTTTCTATCCACACATTTATCTGTTAACCGTTGTTCTTAGAGCTGCCATTTTTCTTTTTAAATCTGATTTCGCAAATTTTTCCGTTTGAATTTGCTCATTTTCAAAGATAGAAAATATTGACATTTTTTCCATCCATAACCTTGCCTTGGGTGATGAGAGTTGCCACAAATAATTTTACCTGTTTTAACGTTTATTGAATACAAAGAAACAAAGAAACAAGCAAAGTATAAATATATAAACAGATTCCTTGTCCAAGATACTATAAAGCTTAAACGGTCAAATATGTTCTGCTTTTTCCACAGAACATTTTATTACACAAAAATAAAGGAAATCATTTCACTGTTTTCTGGTTCCCACTGTATGCTACTCCTATTTGTAGAATGTGTGACGACGATGTTGCTGCCCTGGTAGTTGATAATGGATCTGGAATGTGTAAAGCAGGATTTGCTGGAGATGATGCTCCTAGAGCTGTTTTCCCTTCAATAGTTGGTAGACCTCGTCACCAGGGGGTTATGGTTGGTATGGGGCAGAAGGATGCTTATGTCGGAGATGAAGCACAGAGCAAAAGAGGTTAGTTGCCTTTTACCAGGGGGGGGGGATGGAAGTTGGAACTATATTTGCCCACTATCAAGGAAAAAAATCACCGCTTAGTTAAGTTTTAAAACATGCAAAGTATAATGGTATCCCTAAAAACATTATACTTTCAAGAATAAATGAGCTGTCCATGTTTTTAACTACAAAAAAATATTATTTTCAATCGTTACTCTATCGTGAATACTAAAATAATTCATGAAATTCTCAGAATTAAAGTTTTTAAGATAAAAAACGAAGATTTCTTTCACATAATTGGTTATCACTGTTCAGCGTTAGTTGCTACTCAGGCATGGTAGGTCAATTACAATGTCAGTTTCTTTAAAGAGAGACATTTTCACTTTCTAAAAATACACTTTATTCTTGGTATTTAGGTATTCTAACCCTGAAGTACCCTGTTGAGCACGGTATTATCACTAACTGGGATGATATGGAGAAGATCTGGCATCATACTTTCTATAACGAGCTCAGGGTTGCTCCTGAGGAACAACCTGTTCTACTTACCGAGGCTCCCCTCAATCCTAAGGTACAATTGATAACGGCGCTACAATGTTTATGATAAATAACTTTTTTCTATGTGAAAAATGTCCTAGCTTACCTTAGCTAACACTCAGCCCCGTAACCTTTCCGGGACGCCGCGTTTGACGCAATAGCAAAAATTACATTATCAAAAGCAAAGCGGAGATTCAAGATTTTGTTTTACCAAATTTTAAAATGTTTTCATTAATAATTTTCTAGGCCAATAGAGAGAAGATGTGCCAAATAATGTTTGAAACCTTCAACATGCCAGCAATGTATGTTGCTATTCAAGCAGTTCTATCCCTATATGCTTCTGGACGTACAACTGGTATTGTTATGGACTCTGGAGATGGTGTATCACACACTGTTCCAATCTATGAGGGTTATGCTCTCCCTCATGCTATTCTTCGCCTGGATTTAGCTGGTAGAGAGCTAACCAACTATCTTATGAAGATTCTCACTGAGAGAGGGTAAACAACTTTATAAACTACTAGCTAAAGTGCCCGGTGTTGCCCTTGAAATAAAAAAAATTGAATTTTGGAAGAAAAAAATATCAAAATTTGAAAGAAAAAATCGTATTTTAGCTTTTGTTAACCCCGGAGTACCTTTGGGTTTCCTCAAAAAATGTCAGCCAATTTGGTCCAGACGTTTGGCCAGCTTTAGCTAACATCTATATATATAAATATATATACTTTTCTTGTCTTTCTGTTTTCATCCAATAAACGTCAAAACTGCTAAACCGATCGGGCCCGATTTTTTGTAGGTCCTCGCGTGACCCCAGGGATGGTTTAATGAGGGTCAAATTTTCTAAACTTGCCTCTAATAAAATTAAATTTTTGAAAGTTTTACAATGTATACAAAGAGAAATGTTTACAATTAATGTAGAAGATGGGCCCGCGAAGCCTAGTATAAATACATATATTTCTATATCTAAATGTCTGTTTCCTTGTATTTATGAAACCCTGCAACTTTAAACTTGTTTCTTTGTCTCATCATTAAATATTGAATAAGCCATAAAAAGATAATATTGAAGGCAGAGGACTAAATTTAACCTTGTGTAACCCAGTATATAAAGTTAATTAAAAAAAATCCAATTTAACAGTTAAATAAGTGTATTTTTAGATATGCTTTTACCACCACAGCTGAGAGGGAGATTGTACGGGATATCAAGGAAAAGCTGTGTTATGTTGCGCTGGATTTTGAACAGGAAATGTCTACAGCAGCAGCTTCGACATCTCTAGAGAAGTCCTATGAGCTACCTGACGGTCAGGTTATCACTATAGGAAACGAAAGGTTCAGGTGTCCAGAAGCTCTCTTCCAACCTTCCTTCCTGGGTATGGAGGCCTGTGGTATCCATGAGACTACCTTCAACTCCATCATGAAGTGTGATGTTGATATTCGTAAGGATCTCTACGCTAACAGTGTCCTGTCCGGTGGTACCACCATGTACCCCGGTATTGCTGACAGGATGCAGAAGGAGATCACTGCCCTGGCCCCTAGCACCATCAAGATCAAAATCATTGCTCCACCTGAGAGGAAGTACTCCGTCTGGATCGGAGGATCAATCCTGGCCTCCCTCTCCACCTTCCAGCAGATGTGGATCTCCAAGCAGGAGTATGATGAGTGCGGACCAGCAATTGTTCACAGAAAATGCTTCTAAATATGTTAAAAGATAATGTGTTATGTAAATATGTGACTAACTCGTTCTAAAAGTTAGAATAAATCACATTAACTCGTCATATTTTGAAAGCAAATGTAGAAATAGATTTCTAAAGACATAAACCTCAGCGCACATATACCTTTAGTTTTTTTCTGTAAGGACAGGTTTATGATAGAAAATTTCTGATTTCTGGCGAGCAAATTGAAAATAAATATTAACCTTAAGAATTTTAATAGTTTATGTTTCAAAAACTATAAAGCAATGAAAAATATTAAAAGTCCACTAAAACAGCAGAAAAAAAGTTATTTCAGTTTCGCGAGAGAGAGATATTACATATGCCTATAAAAGAAAACTTTGATCCAGAATTAATTTTTTCGATATTTTTATGTTTAATAGGCATCAACACTGCTAATTTTTCAAGTTTAAAACGCTTAAAAATTTTATTTCTTTTTAAATTTTTTTGTTGAAATCAAAGTTAAAAACGTAAAAATAAAATAAGACGTATGTTAAGTGTTATCATTTAAAGCACCGGATACTGTTAGTTCTTATTTTTCTCATAAAAAGAATTAGCATTATGATTTATGAGTGGAAATAGCAAAAGAAAACCAAGTTTTTAGGTAATGTCTTTTTAATCATATTCTTATTTATATACAAAAAAATTAATGTTTATATATTGCAGCAAAAGTGTTTTTGCTGTGCTATCAAATAAAAGTTTTAAATCCTACCATTAAAAATACTTCTTTGTGATGCCACTTGAAAAATATAATTAACTGTAAATTGAATAGAAACAATATTTGAAGTAAGAAGCTTAAGTAAATATGTTTTTAAATATTTTAGTTTGCATTGAGGAAAAAATGCCAAAATTGATTTTTTGAATATTTTGTGATTTTGTTTTATTCTAATAAAAACATGTCAACCAATCAAATAAATTTTTTGTTACAACAATTTAAGCTTAAATATTATAGAATTATAGTACAGAGCGTCCCATATCATATTAGATTATTTCCAATCTTTAACACCAAAATAAACCCTTAATACTCGAAAAACTTATCATTTTCCGCAAGAAAATTCTTATATAAGCCTTATGTTATTTTTCAAAGTGATTCATTCTAATGAAGTTTTCTAATTAGTCCCGAAAATCGTAATTTAGACCCGTTCTCGGTCTAATATGATGTGGGACACCCTGTAATTTCTTTATTTTATTGTTTTTAGAAAAAAATAAGACGTAAAAAAATTGCTTGTGCCCCCCCCCCTCCCCCCGGAAATTACCTGCAATTTATTTCTTGTTAAAATCTAGTAAAATGCCATTAAATACTTTGGTTTAGACAGATGACAAAATTCGACGTTCAGATCGTAAAGTTAAAGAGACGAAGATCATAAATTTAATCTTTTGTTGGTAACCCTGGAATATACAGGTTTAACAACAAAGAATAGAGACGACATTTTTAAATCCTTTTCCTTGTTGTGAAAGTATCATCCTTTGTGGGAAACCCTGTATGCCTGTACTATGTAGGAAGACAACCTTTCATAATAATGATACAATACAAAAATGTACTATAACTGACTTTCTTTATTTATTCCAAGGATTTAATGCAAGGAAAGTTATTTTAGAAGTGTACGCATCTTTTGTACTGCACTGTACTGTCTCTGTGCGGGAATGTAAACACAAGACGGATGTCGAAGCCTGACATGGGATCCATCTTTCACATAAAAATATCAATGAAATATTCTGGTCATTGGAAACTATTATGTGAATTATAAAAATTATCAAAATTTAATGCCTTTAACCTCCTCGGATAGTGAACGAACACTGATGCATCTATTCTTGTTTACAAATTCCGCCCAGAGAGAACTGGTTTCAATATATACGCAGAGTATACGCGAAAGCAATTAACTTTCCTTGCATTACAACCTTTATTTATTCTCTTCTCTAATAAATCTCTAAAATATATTATGCTGAACATTTTAGTGCAGCTTGATGGTAAAATTGAAATTTTAGATTATCCTCACTTCAAATATTGGAGAGCTAAGTTCTCTAATTTCCAGCACAAATTAACAAATTATCTAATAGCTAGTAGAGTGCCCGGCGTTGCCCTTGGAATTTTTAAAAATCGAATTTTGAAAAAAAATTGATTTTTGAACGAAAATAAATTCGATTTTTAAAGAAACAGAAATTTCGAATTTTATTAGCCTTTTTTTGGGGCAACCTTGAGTACCCCACTCAAGGTTGCCCCAAAAAATGTCAGCCCCAATTCTGTCCAACCGTTTGGCCAGCTATGGTTGATGTATATTTAAGAGAAGAGCTTTATTATAAGATACTTTAAATGATACTCATTCCTTTTATTCCTTGGGCTCTGATTTAAATTAATTTATTACGGGACTAAGATAAGTAAAGTTTAGATTTTTTTCATGAGTAATTTCAAGTGACCGTTTATTAGAAGTGACTTGTTGATGTATGCAGAACAGGCGATGAAGAAAGTAAGAAAATTTTATTTTTTCAGATCGGAAAAACGACGATATCTTCCTTATTTTTACTCAATTTTGCATATTTTTTATTGAGCTCTAATCATTTACTTTTTCGATTTTGGGTCTCTTGTTTTTTTACAGTGATTTTCTAAACACTTTTGTTCATATCATGACTATTGACTATCTCAACATATTCGACTAGATTTACCTATTTGTTGTTTTTCTAATTTTTATTTTGTAATTTTAAGACGATTTGAAATGATTTTGAGTAGATAAGGTTAAATATGTATACAACATATTACCCTGATTCTAGATAAGATTAAGTTCTATTTACAATTCTAAATATTGGAACAGATGTCATTAATTTCCTTTTCTAATGTAAATTCTTGAGTCACACTCATTTTGGACCTTCCATCTATCTACTACCCCCTACTCCCCTTTAATCCCCTCTCTACTCTACTACACTCTACTCCCCTCTACTCCCCTCTACACCAATCTACTCCCCTCTACTCCCCTCTACTCCACTCCATATCACTCTACTCCTCTCAATTACTCGCTATACTCCCACTATTCTCCTTTCTTTACTTCCCTCTCAGCTTCTATTTTTAATCCATGTTCTCTCCTTAATCCTTCTCTCCTCCTGATTCTCACTAATTTCCCCTTATTTTCTTAGAATTCTCCCAGCCAATTTATACTATTTAAACCCCAGCCAATCTATCCTTTTTAAACCCCAGCCAATCTATCCGGCCTTTGTAAACCCCAGCCAATCTATCCTTTTTAAACCACGGCTAATCTATCCTTTTAAAAACCACAGCCAATCTATCCTTTTTAAACCCCAGCCAATCTATCCTTTTTAAACCCTAGCCAATCTATCCTTTTTAAACCCCAGCAAATCTATCCTTTGTAAACCCCAGCCAATCTATCCTTTTTAAACCCCAGCCAATCTATCCGTTTTGAACCCCATCTAATCAATTCTTTTAAAAACCCCAGGCAGTCTATCCTTTTTAAACCCCAGCTGCAGTTTATCCTTTTTAAACCCCAGCCAGTCTATCCTTTCTAAACCCGAGCCAGTCTATCCTTTTTAAACCCCAGCCAATCTATCCTTTTTAAACCACAGCCAATCTATCCTTTTTTAATCCCAGCCAATCTATTCTTTTTAAACCACAGCCAATCTATCCTTTTTAAACCACGGCTAGTCTATCCTTTTAAAAACCCCAGCCAATCTATCCTTTTTAAACCCCAGCCAATCTATCCTTTTTAAACCCTTATCCTTTTTAAACCCCAGCCAATCTATTCTTTGTAAACCCCAGCCAATCTATCCTTTTTAGACCCCAGCCAATCTATCCGTTTTGAACCCCATCCAATCTGTTCCTGAAAAAAACCCAGCCAATCTATCCTTTTTAAACCCCAGCCAATCTATCCGTTTTGAACCCCATCCAATCTATTCTTAAAAAAACCCCAGGCAGTCTATCCTTTTTAAACCCCAGCTGCAGTCTATCCTTTTTAAACCCCAGCCAGTCTATCCTTTTTTAAAATAAACCCCAGCCAATCTATCCTTTTTAAACCCCAGCCAATCTATCCGTTTTGAACCCCATCCAATCTATTCTTTAAAAAACCCGAGCCAATCTATCCTTTTTAAACCCCAGCCAATCTATCCGTTTTGAACCCCATCCAATCTATTCTTTTCAAACCGCAGCTGCAGTCTATCCTTTTTAAACCCCAGCCATGTTCCCAACTCACGCAACCTCTCGATAAATATTGAAGAATATGTTGTTGGTCTCAGCTCTCCTTCTCTGACACAACCCCATCCTTCTCTAAACGCATGCAATCCTATCCTGCTCAAAAAATTCTTCAACCCATTTTGTTCAAAACAATCGCAGCCCAATCATGTTCAAAACAAACGCAACCCCATCCAGTTTAATAAAGACTCAACCCCATCCTGTTTAAAATAAGACGCAACCGCCATCCTGTTCAAAACTCACGAACCCCATCATGTTTTAAACTTACACAACCCCATCCTTTTTAAAATATATTTTAAATAAGAATCATGCAGCCCCCCTCCTCCTCAAAAAAAGCAGCAACCATGCATCCTGTTCAATATTCCCGCAGCCCTCATCCTATCCAAAACTCACGCAACTTCATCCTGTTCAAAACTCACGCAACCTCTGGATAAATAATATACAATATTTTGTGGTCTCTGCTCTCCAGCCATTTAAAACTGACACAATCCCCTCTTTTCTATATTTCTAAACGCATGCAATCCTATCCTGTTCAAAAAGTTCTTTAATTGACTGCAACCCATTCTGTTGAAACAAATGCAAACCAATTATGTTTTAAACTCACACAATCCCATCATGTTTAAAAATCCTGTTCAATATTCCTGCAACCCCATTCTGTTCAAAACTCCTGCAACCCCAACCTAATCAATATTCCTGCAACCCCATTTTGTTCAAAACTCTTGCAACCTCATCCTTTTCAAAACACCTGCAACCCCATGCTGTTCATAACTCCTGCATCCCAATCCTGTTTAAAAC